CGATGCTTTAACTGATTCTTCAATCAATTGAACACTTTAAAAGCTCAATACTATAGACTTTCATTATAGCCCCTGCAATGTTCCTTCCATAAATCAAGAGGAGATTTTTTTTTCCCTTTTCCTTTTGGACACCTTTACATAGCATTTAAAAGTCCATTCCATTTCCCCCCAGTAGTTCTGCCATACTGGAATCAGCAGTGGTTCCAATCCAAACGTCTTTCTCTTTGAAAGCTAAACCTCGTCAGGCAGCCATGAAAGATTCTGATAGTCCTCATTGTAACTAATTGTTAGTACTTAAGTTGGTTTAATAAAAACAACACTCTGCTTGGACCACTTCACTGTGGTCACTTCCAGACTACATGCTTATTGAGCATTCATCTTGATTTGTTTGTTTGGAGGTTATACAATGATGCATTAAGCAACTGTTATCCCACAGAGCCTAGGGCTTGCCGATCAGAAGGTCGGCAGTTCGAATCCCCACAACGGGGTAAGCTCCTGTTGCTCCTGCCAACCTAGCAGTTCGAAAGCACGAAGTGCAAGCTCCAGCGGGAAGGTAAATGGCATTTCCGTGCGCTGCTCTGGTTCGCCAGAAACGGCTTAGTCATGCTGGCCACATGACCCGGAAGCTGTACGCCAGTTCCCTTGGCCAGTAAAGCAAGATGAGTGACACAACCCCAGAGTCGTCCGCGATTGGACCTAACCTTTACCTTTACCCCACATTTTCCAGTGCATTTTCCTTACAGCAAATAGTCCGGGGGGGGGGGGCATACCAAATCCGCTTTCATTCTGCAACATGGGCCTGTATGCGATTGAATCTCACATGAAAACAGCAATTGTCTATAAATGCCCTATATTTTCTCCTGGATCCCTGGAGAATTGTATACCTTAATGCAGCATTTCTTGAACTGGCATACAGTGCTCTCTTCCCCAGTTGTCTGATGTGGTAGAAAGATGTTTCTTAGCAAAAGGCAGGTAAAGGCCGAGATGAATGTGGCGCTCCTACAGTTGACAGGAGTTGGTGTCCAACAACTTCTGAAAAGACCGTTTTCCCATCCTTGCTCTAGCATGTATGTGTGTCTTCACCCTGTGTCTTAGTCATATTATTTTCACAGAAGTACTTTATTACTTCAGAAAGATGCAGTGAGACAGCGGCAGAAAGAGGAACTTCTGCTTTTATTCCTTAAGAATGTCCAGAGCCACTCTGGGAAACATGCCATTGAAGATACCTGATGCTGTAGATATCATAGCCTAGAAGAGTCAAGCTGCCCAAGATTATTTTATTTCTTTTTTATTATTATTTGAGGTATTTATATACCACCCTTTCATAATATTCTTGGTTTACAGTAAAACTCTATCAAAATAAAAAGTAAATTAAAAAAAACTATGAACTACTATAAAACAACGACAAATAAGATGGCAAAACCCATTCATTTATTTTCTGGGTATGTACCCCACCCTTCAGTAGAAAACATTATATTTAGCACCTTTTAGCATAGAAGAGAAACCCAGTGGGCAGGGCAATTATCTACCAGTGGTTTCTTTCCCTGCTGACCTTGTAGGATCTACGCTTGTGCTGGGGGGAACCTGTGGCCCTCCAGATGTTGTTGGACTTCATCTCCCATCAGTCCCAGCCAGCGTGGCCAATGGCCAGGGATAATGGGAGTTGTAGTGCAGCAACATCTGGTTTAAGGACTAAAACATACATGGAGACAAAACAAGTAGTATTTTTCTGCAACGTTCTTACTAAGCATGAACAAATCTAAAGCCTGCAATGACAAAAGAGGCGTTAAAATCCATTTCTTAACAACAGCAAAAATAAGCCACATTTATTTGAGATGGAGTCTTAGGTTCTCAGATTCTTGGTTACCCTATAGGCAAAGGTTGCTTTCAACATTTCCTTGTGCATTCCAGCTTCTTGTCATTAGTAAGGAGCTAACCAAGATTAAAGACTAGATATTTGAGCTATGTTTTTCTCTGTGGAGAGAGGAAAATGGGGGGGGGGGGGCTGAATAAAATAAGAAATTCAGAGTAGCGGGGGTGGGGTGTGACTTTGATTTAGCAAGTACAGAAGAGTGATAGGAAGGGTATTTGCTATGTGACTGTGCACTTTTTGCTTTGGCATGGGCAATAAATGAGCCAAGAAATAAACTTATATTTACAATCGCAGAAATGGGCAGGGGGGAGCTGCAGGGAGGAACAATTATCATACCGGTGGAAACAGTTTGCTCTTGTATTTCCAGACAAGCTGCTGTGGCCCTCATCATGTGTAAATCTGCTTGGAAGCCAGGTTAATATATATATATTCCCATTATTGGAACTGTGCACAGCCCTAGCTGTCCCTAAATGGCAAGAAATAAGCAAGGAAGAGAGAGAGAGAGAGAGAAAGAAGCATCAGTGGCAAATTGGAATCCAAGGCCTTTTGTGCTTGTTAAATGGTGGAATGATTATAATTGGAAAAAGTGATGTGCATTAGTTCTGAGTGAATGTACAAGAAATGACAAGCGTGTAACTTAATGATTACTCCACAACACTCAGAACGGCCTCCGAGTCTTGCACAGAGCGGTTCAGCCCTACAGCAAAGAAAATGGCATACCTTCTACCGCTATTCATGGACATCCTCCACAGGTCACATGGAAATAACCCCGAAGTGATAAGTCTTAGTTTAGGAAGTCTGCTACTTAAGCTTGTATAAGTCATTGTGACAGAAGGTGGCGTGTGTGTGTGTGTGTGTGTGTGTGTGCGCACACGCACGCCTGCAAACCATTGTGTCCGTTAGCAACAACTGGGCAGAGTCTTGTTTTAAATGAAACAATACACTGTGTGTTTAATCTCATGGGCAGCGAGGTATCAGAAATGCTGTAGATCATATTTCTATGATTTATTGGTGAGAGCCTTTCCCTGGTGGTGTTCTTCCTTTCCCCTCTCCACTGCACGATCACCGGTACAATTTTAGAAGAATAACACTGGCCAAAGCTGCTCCGATAAATTAACATAAGCCTTTCAAAGGGATGAAAAATAGAGCATCGTTGTGCAAAAGTGTCACAGGCATAACGCTTGTAGATCGCATACATATATATATTTCATTCATACCATTTTTTTCCTATATGGGAGAAACAGAATATAACGAGCCCTTTGCTCATTCTGCCCACCCCGCCTTTCTTTTATGTACTTGGAAACCCAGGCAAGGGAAGCATTGTAATGGTTTGTTTTTAAGGTGAAAGGAGTATTCTGTGCCCAGCCTCATTTAAAAACTCAGGGTTAAGTGCTCAATGAAAACACATATAGTTCATAAATCTGAGCTCAAAGTAGCAGGCAATGTGTCAAGGGGCCATAATCTCCAGAGACAGGGTTTGGATTTTTTTTTATTATTATTATTATTTAATTCTCACAACAGGAACCTTGGCAGGGTCAGAGTTTCACAGGATCTGGGTAAAGTCAAAGCTTTATGCTGAGCAAACCATCTTATGGAATCTTGCACTGTGTGAGGTATCGCTAATCCGCCGATGAGGCCAAGCAGCATGTAACCGCGAAGCGCCCACAGTGGGGAGCGAACTGTAAGGCACATGGAAACTTGTGTGCAGATATGGAAGAGTTCTGTATGCAGATTCTTTTAGAACTCTGTGTGAATACTGGAAATATTGTGTGGGGTGGCGGCCGGGTGGGTGGGAATCCTGCCTTCACTGATATAGCTGAAGTACAGAAATAACAGATCCTCAGTATGCCACTAGGTGGCACACAATGAGCTGCAGAGCAAAAATCCACCCAGGTGCAGATGACAAGTTTGATGGCGTTACCCTTGATTCCAAAATTCTCTTCATACTTGTAAAAGGCTTCAGAAGATGAATTGCTGACAGCTCACTGAGGCAAATGCACTAGATGCATGAGATGAGCAGGTGGTGGCCTAATTCAAGTGGTAAAAATCTGCCCATGGACCACTGCGCCAAATTCTCAGAGATTCAAGGTGGGAGAGGCGGGGGCCATCAAAGAGGGGAAAGGGCAGCAGGCGACCCAAATAGTTAAGCACGTGGAGCAGCTTCTGTATGAGGACATGTTACAACATTTGGGGCTTTTTAGTTTAGAGAAAATGCGAGTAAGACGGGAGACAATAGGAGTGTTGAATGCCCTGTTATAATTGCTCAGCCTCTGAGAGAGGCCTATACCTTCATTGCATTAAGGCATAACAGAGGAAATTAGAACTTGATAAAACAAAGGAGGCTGCTTCAAACTTGTCAATAGCTCAGAAGAGCATGAGACTCTTAATCTCAGTGTCGGGGGGTTGGACTAGATGGCCCTTATGGTCCCTTCCAACTCTTTGATTTCTAGCCCACTGCTTGCCACAGCACAGCTACTGTATATAAGCAAAGGGGTTCATGAACACAGCGGTCTGCTCCACAATGCACTGCAGCCTCCATTTGTTTCAATGGGCCTGCCCAGGGCTCCATTTCAGCAGCACACCTTCAGTTTGGTAGTCTGCCCTTCCATGAGCGCAAGCTCCACTTGCGGAAGGAATTGCTCTGCTTGGTTGAACCCTAGAGAGAAAGCTTTGGTCCTTTTCCTTTCTTTTCTATTACAGATGCATTTGAAGCTATGATTTAGTCTGGAAGAGATGCTAATAAGAAAAAGGCTTTTAATTTAAATTTTTTTAGGAGAAAAGTCTTGACAGTTGGGAAGGAGATTATATTATGAGGTCTGTCATGCAGGTAATATCCTGTATATCGAGACTAATCACCCATTTATAGTTAAAACAAGAGGTGTTAAGGGTATAGTGAATCACAGTCTAATGATTAGTGATAAAAATCACCTAGGTAATGGAACTGGTATTGAGAAACAGATTTTTAGGCAAAAATGATTATCATGTGAGATTGATTAAAAGGATAATTGTGGAACAACGTAACCTTTCCCATCATTATGGGCCTGGAGTTGCTTAAGACCATTTCTCATAATGGTGCAATGGTCCTATATTGTAAGAAGATTGACCAGTGATTAGAAAGATATTTATTGGACTTCCGGGGGCGGCGCGAACGGTAATGGCGGTCTTCTCCCGACCGGAGAAGAAGCTCCGCTGAAACCGGGTCGTCCGCTACGGCGAAGCGGAGACCCAGTGAGAAAAACCCCAGGCAGCAAGAGCCTGGGGTCCTGAGGCTCGGCGGGCGCCAAGAGCAGCCCTCCAACTGCAGAAGGAGCCTCGTAAGAGGCTCCGGAGCGTGGAGGGGGGCTGCGGCGCTGTGAGCCGTTTCACAGTCAACGGAGTGAAGCCGCGCTGCTGCTGCCGGTGAGCGCTGATCCCTTTTCCTGTTAAAATTCGGACCTGGAAGAAAACAACTTACTCGTGAGTAAAGACTGAATCACTTGGAATTACAAATTTTAAATGAGAAGGTTTAAATTGACTTGAATTTGGCTGAAAGCGGAGAGACGTGGAAACAGGAAGTCCGTCTTCCGCTGCCATTGAACTTGGAAAAAAAAGCAACTAAGGTGGAGGAGTGGAGGCTGAAAGAAAGAGATTTTAAACTCTACACAGCCAAGCATTTATGGAACTTACAATTTAAAGTAAAATTAGCAAGTTAAAGATTTGGACCTTTTATTTGCACTTGACTTTCCCCTTTTATTGGATTACAAATTGGAAGGTGAAACCCAGAGTCAGGACTGCCTGAGCATTGTAACAGTGGGCTGTCAGTGTTTGACTTGGATACTGTATACTGGAAGTTGCAACAATTTGAGGGCATTGAGACATTTTAAATTTGAAACATTCTTTTTGGAGACAAATAAGCACTGTCTGCAACAAAGTGATTACCTTTAAACTCTGCTTAATACTTATATTGGAAGGTTCTGGGACATTAAATCAGACTCTGAAAAGACATTTTAAGCTCCCTCTAGAGGATTGGATTAAAACAGTGACTTTATAAAAACATTTACTTTCGATTCTCTTGTTGTCTGCTTGCTCTGGGACTCTCTATTCCTGTGGGAAAAACTCAGTGTGACCTTGACTGATAGATAACATTGGAATGAGTGGTACAAGAAGAAGAGGAAGAGTTAGACAAACAACTCTAACAAATCTAACCTCAGCCTCGCAGACACGTAGATCATCTGTGCCTACTTTGCCCTCAGAAGTACAACTTGAAGAAGCTGCCTTGCCACAGGCAAAAGAGGGAGAGGGTGAAGTAGAGCAGTTACAATTGGAAGATATGGCCTCAGGAGCATCTGCTTCTGTGCTAGAAAAATCTTTGAAAAATTGGAAGCTTTGGACAAGAAAGTAGATGCGCAATCAGCAAAGATTGATAAAAATACAGAGTGTCTAAACAAATTAACTACACAGGTGGGACAGAATACACAAGCAATTGGACAGTTGACGGAGGCCTCAGTAGAAAATCGAAAATTGGCTGAGGACACCAGACAAAAATTGGAAAATTTAGAGCAAGAGGTAAGACCACTCACTAAACAAGTTGGGGAACATCAGATTTATCTTTCTATGATAGAACTGCGAAATCGTGAGAATAATCTGAGGATTAGATCATTACAAGAGGCAGAAGAAGGAAATCTAACTGAGTTTTTGACCAAAGAACTTTCCAAGTTCTGGAATTTGGAAGAAAAGGACTTTAAAATTGTGTCAGCTTTCAGACTTGGAAGATTTATAAAGAAGGAGAGGCCCAGGGATTGTTTGATTACATTGAGATCGAAGGAGGAAAGGGATAAGATTTTGGGCCTACATTACGAAAAGTCACTGGAAGTTTTGGATAGAAGAATTGAGATATATAAAGATATCCCAAGACAACTGTTGGATCTTAGAGCCGCCTATTCTGAACTAGCTAAACTATTAAGGAGCAACGCAATTCCATTCAGGTGGGATTTTCCCCAGGGATTGTCTTTTACCTTTAGAGCGAGAAAGGTTAAAATTAGAACATTGGAAGAGAGAGATAAATTTCTGGCTACACACGGAGAGGACCTACATAAAGGAATTGAACTACCTTCCGGGCCTGAGGCAAAGCCAGCATCAATACCTCCACCTCGGGAACTTGAAGATCAAGAGAAGACACCACCCCAGGAGAAATAACCAGATAGATCCAGGATGTCTCTGCAACTGTTGAGCTGGAATATTAATGGTTGCAATATCCCGGAGAAAAGGAAGAAAATTTTTCATATATTAAAAAAAGAACAATTGGACATTATTTGTTTACAAGAAACACATGTGACGAGGCTCCACAGAAAAGTGTTAACAAATAAAAGATTGGGCCAGGAATTTATTTCGTCGGATAAAGTGAAGAAGAGAGGAGTGGTGATATATGCAAAAGAGAGCCTGTCACCTAAATTTCTATTTAAAGATGAACATGGAAGGATTTTGGCTATTGAGATACAATATCAAGGAGAGAAATTGCTGATATTAGGAATCTATGCGCCTAATGAAGGGAAATCGGAATTTTACAAGAAGTTGCAGGGGACAATGCTGGATCATCTGGATTACAACAACATCATAATGATGGGAGACATGAACGGGGTCGTGTCAACTAACATGGACAAGTCGCAAAGTCAAAACATCACAAAAGATGGCAGACTACCTAAAACCTTTTTGAAATGACTGACAATATGGACTTGATCGACATTTGGAGAACAAAAACCCACTAGGTAGAGAAGGAACATTCTTTTCTGAAGCCCAACTGACCTGGACAAGAATCGACCAAATATGGATCTCTAGAGGCCTGGCACCTAGGGTTAGAAAAGTGGAAATCTGCCCAAAGACCTGTTCTGACCACAACGCAGTAAAGATGGACATGACACTACTACCAACTGGATCCTTTAGATGGAAGATGAATGACAATTTGTTTAGAGATCAGGAAATTACCAAGAAGGCCCAAAAAGTTTTGAAAGATTATTTTGAGATAAATATGAACAATTCGGTGGAAAAAAGAATCGTCTGGGACGCAAGCAAAGCTGTCATGAGGGGTTTTCTGATACAACAGAATGTAGTAAAGAAAAAAACACAAAATGAGAAAAAAGACAAGATTTTGGATAAAATAAAAGACTTGGAGAAGAAATTAAGAGTGAATCCAAAGTCACAGCCAACTCTGAGAGAAATTAAACTTTATCAAACACAGTATTCTAAATTGATAAATCAGGAAATTGAATGGAAGATCAAATTAATGAAACAAAAACGTTTGAGTCGGCGAATAAATGTGGAAAACTGCTATCTTGGCAGTTGAAGAGAAGACAAAGATTAAACACGGTTACAAATTTAGAGGTTGATGGAAGAAACATTCAGAATCCAGTGGACATTAGAAAGTGTTTCCAGAGATATTTTAAAAAGTTATATACCCAAGGGCCGCAAGACGAAGTTGAGATTAAACAATTTTTGGCAAAAAATGGATTATCTAAACTGTCACAAGAAAATAGGACAATCCTGAACTCTAAAATAACACGACAGGAGATTGAACAAGCCATTCAGAACATGCAACTTGGCAAATCTCCAGGGCCAGACGGGCTGACCTCCAAGTATTACAAGACACTAAAAGACTATTTGATACAACCTTTGATGGAGGTTAGCAATGAAATTATGGAGGGGAAGAGGGCACCGGATTCGTGGAAGGAAGCGTTTATCACATTGATACCAAAGTTAGAAACTGAAAAGACACAACTGAAGAACTACCGTCCCATCTCCCTTTTAAATGTGGATTACAAAATATTTGCAGATATTTTGGCAAGTAGATTTTAAAAAGTTTTAAATGAAGTAATTCATAAGGACCAGGCCGGTTTTCTCCCAGGTAGACATTTGTTTGCTAACACAAGGAACATTATTGATATTTTGGAACTTCTCCAAACTGACATAAATACAAAAGCTGTTTTAATTTTTATAGATGCGGAGAAGGCCTTTGATAACATTTCTTGGAAATTTATGATGGGAAACTTAAAAGAGATGGGAGTGGGACGGGGTTTTGAGAATGGGATTGAGGCGATATATTCAGAACAGAAAGCAAAACTGATAGTTAATAATGTGGTTACAGAAGAGTTCAAAATTGAAAAAGGGACACGACAAGGTTGCCCTATTTCCCTTTGTTATTTATCTCGGTCCTGGAGGTGCTATTGAACATGATCAGAGGGGACCAGCTGGTGGAAGGAATTCAGGTTGGTCAGAAACAATATAAATTAAAAGCTTTTGCAGATGACCTGGTTTTGACCTTGCAGAAGCCAGAGCCTAGTACGAAAAGAGTATTACAATTGATTAATGACTTTGGTCGGGTGGCGGGATTTAAATTAAACAAACAGAAAACTAAGGTTTTGGGGAAAAATCTGACTGAGACAGAGTCAGAACGGTTTCAGAATGAGACGGAACTTAATGTGGTTAAAAAAGTAAAATACCTAGGGGTAAACATAACAGCAAAAATCTAAGTCTATTTAAGGATAATTATGAAAAATGTTGGACAGAAATTAAGAGAGACTTAGACAGTTGGTCAAAATTGAAACTTTCTTTGTTAGGCCGAATTGCTGCGATTAAGATGAATGTATTGCCAAGAATGTTGTTTTTATTTCAAACACTGCAGGTATTGGACAAAATGGGGTGCTTTCAGAAGTGGCAGAGAGATATTTCGAAGTTTGTCTGGCAGGGCAAAAAGCCCAGAATTAAGTTTAAGATACTAACCGATGCAAAACAAAGAGGGGCTTTGCCCTGCCGGACTTAAAGTTGTACTATGAAGCCGCAGCGTTCTGCTGGCTAAAAGACTGGCTACTTCTTGAAGACACTGATGTGTTAGATTTGGAGGGGTTTAACAATGTTTTTGGATGGCATGCATATTTATGGTATGACAAAGTTAAAGCAAATAAGGCCTTTAAGAACCATATTGTTAGAAAATCACTGTTTAATGTCTGGACAAAATATAAAGACTTGCTGGAAAATAAAACACCAAGGTGGCTTTCACCTTTGGAAGCTAAGGCTCGAAAAGACCCAATATGGAGGCCAAATGGCCAAAATATTGGGAAATACTAGAAAAGATGGAGACAATTGGAAATTGCAGAGCTTGGAGAAAATGAAAGACAAAGTGCGAGATTGGTTACACTATGCTCAGATTAAAGAAGTTTTTAAAAGTGATAAGAAACTAGGGTTCCAGGTGGAGAAATCGAAATTAGAAACAGAATTGTTAGAACCAAAGACTAAGATACTTTCAAGGATGTATAACTTGCTGTTGGAATGGAATACACAAGATGAAATGGTTAAATCGGCTATGATAAGGTGGGCACAGGACATTGGGTACAATATTATGTTTGAGGACTGGGAAAGGCTGTGGAGTAATGGATTGAAATTTACTGCATGTAATGCTTTGAAAGAAAATGTAATGAAAATGATTTATAGATGGTATATGACCCCAGTCAAACTCGCAAAAATTTACCACCTGTCTGATAACAAGTGCTGGAAATGCAAAGAGTGTGAAGGAACGTTCTTTCACCTCTGGTGGACATGCCCTAAAGTGAAGGCGTTCTGGGAAATGATTTACAATGAATTGAAAAAGGTATTTAAATATACTTTCACTAAGAAACCAGAGGCTTTCCTTTTGGGTATTGTCAGCCAAGGGGTGGCAAAGAAGGACCAGACATTTTATGTACGCAACAACAGCAGCAAGGATACTACTTGCAAAACATTGGAAAACCCAAGATCTACCCACACTGGAAGAATGGCAGATGCAACTGATAGACTATATGCAACTGGCTGAAATGACTGGCAGAATCCGTGACCTGGGAGAAGAGAGAATCGAGGAGGATTGGAAGAAATTTAAGAACTACCTACAAAAACATTGTGATTTGATTGAATGCTGAATAAGATGCTGGACTAAATAACTGAGCACCACTTAACTTAGAAATTTTTAAGGAAACAAGAAAAATTGTGAAAGCTTAACTCTTTATGAGAACTTTAAGATTATGAAATATCGAAGAGATTTAAGAATTTAAATAAGATGATAAATTGCTGACAAAATGTTATAATGATGAAGGTGGGAGCGGGAGATGTGAGGAAGTCCTAAGAAAATGTGAAAATATGTTAAGACGAATGCTATATTGTTTATTACATTTATTCCTATTGTAAAACCTAATAAATTGCTTTTAAAAAAAAAATATAGAAAGATATTTATTGCTTCCCATAATGTGAGGCGCTATCACATCCATACAGTGTAGGTATCATATATCTTCATCAGAAGTTAAAGTTAGAAGTTAGAACTTGGATCCATAAAACCAATGCAGGTTTCTAATTTCAAAATAAAATAAAAGCCTAGAGCAGGGAAGGGGACTCAGTGGCCTCTCAGATGTTGTTGGTCCCCAGCCAGCATGGCCAATGGTCAAGAATGATGGGAACTGTAACAATATCTGGAAGTCTACAGGTCCCCTAACCCTGGCCTAGAACAATGTAATAAAATATCATAGGGAGTTTTCAGCATATTCATTGCAAGATCCTTTGGGATGCTTGTTAGATTTTTACTTGTTCGTATAGAAAAATGTATAGACCACTTAGGCAGGAAAAATTCTAAGCAGTGTACATTAGTAGTGAGTAAAACAGTAAAGAGGTGAGTAAAACACAGGTATCTCCCCAAGAACATCTCAGGAGACTAAAAAGTAGAGTACATAGAGATTAAAATGGAAAATGTTTTTTGGTGACACATGTAGGAAAATCTGAGCACAAAAAACCAACCCAACATGCACACGCTCAAAGTGTTTCTTTTGTTCTGTACTTTTCCCCAGAGCGAGCGCAGAGGGATCTTACTAGAAAAAAACATGACCCTCCCTTAAAAGATGCAGTCTTACAGTTCATGGGCATTATTATAAGCCATTTTCTAAGCTATGTATATATTGACATCAGTTCTTACCAATTCCATACTAAATCCAACCAGTTTCTGGAAGAAAACCACCCTTCCACCACAGTGGAACAGCTAAACATGTTGAGAGTGCTACCTGATCAATTTATTTTGTGATTCATCTTCACCGCATCCTAGATCAGGGTTCATCATCATCCCAACGTATCATCTACATGCATAGATAGGCGATGTTCAAGCCTTAAGGTGAGAATTGTTCCATATTCAGTTAGGTGTTCATACAGACTCATGGCAACTTTTTTATTATTTCCCTTAATGGAGGAACTGGATAACAGAAAAGTTTTATTTAAATGGGTATCAAATTATTCTCTGAAGGACTTAAATTCTTCTGCTTATATATTCAAAAGGTAGTGGATTCTAAAATAGGTGTGCGTATTTGCAAAAAGCTGTGAAAAATGTCACTCAAAGGTAGACTCTTGAAGGAATAATCCTTTATGCCGATTCCCTAAGTGATAACTTTGTAGAACCTTGATAATTTTGGAATGCTTTTCAGTGTGAAAACTAACAGCTCATAATATTGATATTTCTTTTTAAAATACACATCTTAGACTAATCCTTCCTGGGGGACCTGGAAGAATGCTAGCCATTTTTGGAATATGAATGTAAAAATATATTTATGTTTTCCTTCCACACTTCCATCCAGACTAACCTGGTAGATCAAGAGTGAGGAAGCTTTTCAGACTGAGGGCCACTTTTCCTTTTCAGCAACCTTATGGGGGCCACATGCCAGTTATGAATTTTACCTTTTAACAGTAGGCTAAGTTTCTAAATATGCTCTTGCATTCCTCTCTTTCCTCCAAACAGACAAACTAGAAGCATTATTGGAGTTTAAAGGCATTTTTCAGCCAGGCAAAAACACTCAAGGTGTGGAGCAGGGCTGGTGAGGGGAGTGTCCTCCAGGGAGAATCCCAAGGGCCTGAAAGAAAGGCATGAAGGGTGGCAATCAGCCCCCAGGCCTGAAATTCCTCACCCTCCTTTGGTAGGTCTTGGGGGACTTTATCATACTAGGTTCAAACAGCAGGCAAACACGGAGTAGTTGAGCAGTGAAGGAGGAAGAACAAGGGTTCCGAACCTGAATGCTTCTCAATTTCATATTTTTTTGCAAGCAGAATGCTTGAAAGTTTTTGGGAGTCTTGGTAGACAACTTTTTTCGTTTTCCTACAAATTAAAGCACATAGATAATGTATTTCAGTGAGCATAGTCTTGCCTTTCTAATGTGCTTGAGCGTGTTTGTGGATCAGCTATGAAGAAAAATACAACAGCATTCCCCACCCCAGTGCCGACATCATTGTTAAAACCAGTGCCATATATAATGAAAGATCATGGTCAGGCTGCTGAGAAGGGATCCTTTAATTGATGGATTTTCCAGGTGCAAAATTATAATCTCTCATTTTAGTTTATAATGTATATATTTATTGATTTTATTGATTTTGCTTTGTTAAAAACACATTTTTAACATTGATATTGACAAATTTATGTATATTTTGCGGTCTTTGTAAAGAGCTTGGAGATTTTTATTTACAGTTAAACAGTATACACATTTTGTTAGGTAAAACAAAATAAAATAAATGGATTGCACCAGAACTGTATTATGT